TCCCTAATCTCAAGGGCAGTAGCGACCGCCCAGTGATACTGCTGTGACCTGACATATAAGTTTATCCAAAGCTTTATACTTTCCTATAACTCGTATGGGAAAATATGCACATGATCAACTACGTGTATTGGTGACAGTATAAAAATTCTAAGGGAGTTCCTATTGGTTTCTGTACACTTCTACCCCCAATTGAGTGTGAACGCCTATAAAGGAAACTACTGAACTCAGCTGAGGGCACCTAGCATATAGCCCTCTAACACTGGACTACATCCGACAATTTTGTAGGTATCTCTGCCTAACACACTACATCCAAACTTCAAAGCAGTAATACCTCATCACGATAATGACAATCACATGAGGACAATCTTGACTAGCGCACTATGAAGATTCGCGTCCAGCCAAATCTCACCTAAGATACTCTTTCACTCTCTGCCAATCAGGCCTCGGGTCCGCCTGCAGATACGACGAACTCGGTGGAGCTTCACCTGACCATCGACACCTAGACAATTCCCAACAGCATGATCCTGTTTTTTCCTGATACCTAAGTTTTTTAATTCCACACGGAGCTCACAGAAATTTTTAATTAGTTTTGCGCATTTAAAAAAAGTTTTTTTAATCCTTATAAAATACTCTGATCCTGTCCCACGCACCAGCACGACTATACAGTCTATCCACATCAGCCCTCAGTTCACTGGCCTGGTTATTCAGTTCCTCAATATCATCCTGGAGACCCATCGCCACCGAGGCTGCTATCTACGTACCAAACTATCTTCAAATACTAGAACCATAGCCTACCTGTGATGCATCAATAGACTCCGAAGCGGAGCCGCCTCGTCTGCCCATTCCTGATGCCTTCAGAGCCTCTATCATCTCAACAATGCCAAGGACCTACCACACAGTAAGCAAACACTATACAAATCAATCTCACCGATTCCTGTTGGTTGCCCATGCTCTCAGCCGCCTGATGCTCCGTCCGTCGTAGTATAGCCTACAAAGAGTAACCACCCTACCCAGGGATTCACCCAAACACCTATGATGTTCCCAGGGGATCACATTCTTCAATAGATGTCATCACATTAGAAACATTTTTCCCATTCTTATCAAACTCTGGAGAACGTTATTTCTCAAAGGTAGATGAGTCCCTGACGCTACTCATCGCTACAGCATCCAGCCTCACTTACTTCCATCTGTCCCAGTCTAACCCCAAGACCACGGACTTCCTCGTCCACGCGGACTATATCGTCAGCGAGGCTCCCAAGTGCACCTTCGTTCGCCGACGAATCGGGTTGCTCAAAGGTGTTGACTGTCAACAAGAACAACCCTTTCCCCACAGATCGGACCAGTCTCATAAAATATGCACATGGACAACTACGTATGTTGGTGACAATATGAAAATTTCCAGGAAATTTGAAAAAATTCCTATTTGTTTCTGTGCACTTCTACACCAAGTCGCCTGTAAACATCTATAATTAGTGAGGAAACTCCTGCGCTCAGCCGATCGGACCGTTCACACTCCCTTCCGTGGCCTTATCCTCCAGTGCCTCCACCACTGCAGGGACCGCCTTCTCCACAAAGAGCTCCTACAAATCACCGCTTCCAAGACACACCTCGCTACACGACTCACTTTTACGATGCCAGGCAGGGTCCTGGCCACTTCCGAAGTGACCTCCTCGCCGGCACCATCAACAGAGCTCGACAAGCGTCTGACACCTCGCCAGACCTTATCCGATACCATCATATGGCCGGTCTGCATAGACAAGCATAAGGACGTTCAACGCGGCGCTCAATAGCATCATTCATATTTCCACGAATTTATGTTTCCTCACGAATTTGGATAGACATGTTCAGAAACCAACAAGAAATTCCCTAACTCTCCTCAAAATACTGTCATCAACACCTGTAGTTTACTCTGTGCCTATCCCCCCACACTGCTGCTCACCAGAGCCTCCGGCGTCATATCCTCGGCCAGGCATCGGCTCAGCTTGCCCACCTCCATGCTGAGCGATCCGTCCACCTCAACTGGCTCCTCCGAGGA